CATTAGACATTATGGTAATAGGTAAAGTCTCTTTTCCGATATTCTTATCTATATACAATGTCATACACAACCCTCTACACTCCTCCATACACAACCCTCTACACTCCTCCATACACAACCCTCTACACTCCTCCATACACAACCCTCTACACTCCTCCATACACAGCCCTCTACACTCCTCCATACACAGCCCTCTATGCTTCTCCATTCACACCCCTCTATGCTCCTCCATTCACAGCCCTCTACACACTACACACTGGATCTAGCTCCTCCATTCACACCCCTCTACACACTTAAAGATTCAGAGGTATGCCACCAGACTAGTCCCAGAGTTGAGAGGTGTGAGTTACAAGGAAAGACTACATGAATTAAACCTCATGTCCCTGAAAGACAGAAGAGTTAGTGGAGACATGATGAAAACCCCTTAAAAATTCTCAGGGGAATTGACAAGGTGGACAAACACAAACTATTTAGCATGGCCATAATACGAACAAGGGGACACAGGTGGAAACGTAATACTCAAATGAGTCACAGACACATTAGAAAGAACCTTTTCAGTGTCAGAGTAGTTGACAAATGGAATGAATTAGACAGTAATGTGGTGGAGGCTGACTCCATACACAGTTTCAAATGTAGATATGATAGAGCCCAGTAGGCTTGATGATCTGTACATTAATTGAATGCCAGTTGAGAGGCGGGACCAAAGAACCAAAGCTCAAACCTTGCAAGCATAACTAGGTAAGTACACTTCTCCATACACAGCCTTCTGCACTCCTCCATACAGAACCCTCTACACTCCTCCACACTCCTCCACACAGAACCCTCTACACTCCTCCACACACAACCCTCTACACTCCTCCACACACAACCCTCTACACTCCTCCATACTCCTCCACACACAACCCTCTACACTCCTCCACACACAACCCTCTACACTCCTCCACTACAGAACCCTCTACACTCCTCCACACTCCTCCACACAGAACCCTCTACACTCCTCCACACTCCTCCACACACAACCCTCTACACTCCTCCATACAGAACCCTCTACACTCCTCCACACTCCTCCACACACAACCCTCTACACTCCTCCACACTCCTCCACACACAACCCTCTACACTCCTCCATACAGAACCCTCTACACTCCTCCACACTCCTCCACACAGAACCCTCTACACTCCTCCACACACAACCCTCTACACTCCTCCACACACAACCCTCTACACTCCTCCACACACAACCCTCTACACTCCTCCACACACAACCCTCTACACTCCTCCACACACAACCCTCTACACTCCTCCACACACAACCCTCTGCACTTCTGTAATATCACCCTTGTCACTCATTCTCTCTGTCCTTCCATTTCTTATCTCTTCTCTTAATTCAGCTATTTTCCTCATCCTGCCTTTATCCATTCTTTCTACATACCTTAACTATCTAGTTCCATTTGTTTTTCCGAGTTAACAGCCAACCTTCAACAGTTATTTTGTGCTTCCTGTACCTCCTCCTTTGGATTTATATAACCATACCTCACTACTATACATTAAAGTGAACATACAGCAGAATTTGGCATGCCCAAAGTGTGTTTTTTTTTTCTCTCAAAAACTTTCAGTGCCTCCATTACCCCCCAAATTTATTCTAGATACTAACAAATTGTATTCTCTTGAGCTGTTTTCCATTCATCCAGATTTCACATTTCTCCTCCACTCTTTGTTAAATTGAACTATCTTTGTATTTTCTGGGGGTAGTCCCTTCGGCTCCCTGTAGCTATCCGGGTTGATATGAATGTATTAGACCCTGGCATCAGTCAGTGTGCATGGAGTTCTAGGCCTACTGGGGACCACGAGCCAGAACCTTGCCCCCTCAGATAGGCACAAAAAGCAATGGCCTATAGAAACCCCCGTGTGGTTGGAAGCATTCTATGTCTGCCATTGACCGGGTCAGGCACCCAGAAAGGTAAGCACCCCAAAACAAACCCCTATTCTGGTTAAAATATTGCTGCTGAAAGCCGAACTAGTGGACACAACTCCCCAAATGAAAAGGAGCAAATGAACATGACGTCACCATGCTGCTGTTTGCGCACCCTCCCCCCCTCCCCACGAGGGGGAAGGGGGAGCCCCAGACCCCTGTGCCGGCTATTCATCCTGCAGTTCTGTGGCTGATGTGAAACTGACAGTGTTGTGTGCCTCTGGCTCCAGAATTTTCCAGTTCTGTGCCTTGTGGTGTGGTGCTGTCTACGGTGGTGTTGTGAGCCAGGAGTAACTTCTCCAGTACTCTCGGCTGCTTGCGCCTAATGTTCCCTTCCCTAGATGCTCTGTAAGTACTACCCTTGGGGGCTTGGGGTTGCCTTTCACAAGTCACCTTGGGAGCTACCTCCACTGTGTCTTTTGCTGCACCTTGCGAGACCTCTGTGTCAGAAGTTCATAGGGATTGCAGGAGTGTTTAATCTGTCAGTAGTGACAGCTCTTAACCTTCCTTGACCTGTCACTAGTGAGAGCAACAGGTGACATGCTGTGCGTGTACAAATGATTTATGTTACTTGCATGCAGAATTGGGCTGTTATCATAGATTGCAGTGCATTGAATTGATTGATCAATAATGTCAGTGTGTGACACTGTGGTTCTCTCTCTTTACAGGGATCCAGTAATTGGGTAATTCATTGATTGTTACTCATTGGATTATTTTGTCTGTGTGACAAGTATTATTCTCATTTGTGTATTATTGTGCATTGTATTGTGTTGTGTTGTAGTGTAGTATCCTGTTAGTGGCTTGTCAAAGGGGACAAGCAATAAGTAATCCGTCTGATTATTTATCGAAAAGTCATTAATGTAGTCATTATTGTCATTGGTTGCCAGCTGTCAGTTTGACAGTGTACAGTATTGAGGAGTTAATTGATTGTTGTGTCTAGTGATAAACAATAAATTAACATAATTGTCTTTGATGGAACACTTGTCAGTGTGACAGTGTATTAAATGTTAATTGATTTGTTGACTGTCTAGTGACAGTGATTAACATAATTGTTGGTGATTAATTAACATAAATTGAGTAATTGTTAATTATCTTTGAATGCCGTCCAAGTAATGTGTGTTTTAACTTAATTGATTGAATGTCTTGATGACGTTGATTGTTAAGCAATTGTTGTTGTTGCTGTGTTTCATTTCATGTGTTCATGTCATGTTTTGGTGTTTGATTTGACAAGAGTGTGCACGAAGTACTTCAGGTTAGTTAACGTTTGTTGATGACCTGTCCAGTGGGTCGAGGTCTTGTGTGTCTATATATCTGTCAGGTGGTGGGTCAGGAAACCTACTGCAACAGTGGTGTTGGACAGATTTGAAATGAAACTCTTGAATTAACGTAAAGTGGGTGGCTGTGTATTAGAATGTAAGTTTGTTGAATAAATTGTTATTTTGTTTACACAGGCCTTTTATGTCATTCCTCATTCTGCAGTACTGCCACCCTTATTCATATTGTAACTTAACCAATGTGCTCGAGTTGGTTCAGGATTCCAGCCCCTAATCTCAATCACTGAATATTAAATTCGGTGTGAGAATCCATCCTCTACCTGCTATGTTTGCTGCGAGTTACAGAGAGAATAACCCAGTGAGAGAAAGTCTTGTAGTGTATTGAGGAGGGGAAGACCGCCTTGGTCTTTATCTTTCTCCTGTACTACTGGATCTTTGGCGGTTGCTCTCACTTTTCGGAATGCCAATTTCGCATCAGGCTTCCCTGCATGGGGCCTGTGTGTGTTTGTAGTCAGTCCGGAAGTTGAATCTCACATCTGGCTTGAATGCAACTTGGGGCTAAGGCACTAAACAGTAAATTCCCCCATAGCCAGGGGGGAGTAAAGTATAATCTCCAAGTCCTGGCCGCCCATTATTTGGTTAACGTTCCTGCTCATGGGCATTCCTGTGTTGCTTTGGGTCATAGATTGCAGCTATTTGTCTTGACTTCACGTTGAAGAGTGTGTGGCGGCCGCCTCCCGGGATAAGTCCCCCTTTTCTCTGTCTTTGGTTATGTAGCTCCAGGGAGCCTTAGGGGCTTCCCACAGAAAACCAGCGTTGAATGTAATGAAATGCTATCTTCTGGATGAGCCCCGGAGACTCCCTGGCAACTCTCCTTCCCTCCGGTCGGCAGTTTTTCGCGTTGTTTGATGTTGTTTTGCTTCCGAACTGAACTGCTAGGTAGCCGGCGTGGGGAGATCAGGGGCTCCCCCCTCCCTCTCTTTGGGGGGGGAGGGGAGGGCTGCACAGACGAGCGACACAAAAATGGAGTGATGTTTGCTTGTTTCCATGGGATTGGAGGGAGTTCTGCCTCTCTCTCTTTGGTTTTTGATTTTTAGTTGTAATTTTCTTACCATGTGGGGTTTTTGTTATGCCTACCTTTCTGGGTGCCTAACCCTGGTCGATGGCAAATGAGAAAAAACCCAACCACAAGGGGGTTTTCCAGGGCCATTGCTCCCTGCACCTCTCTGGTGGGCGGAGTTCTGGTTCGTGGTCCTCGGTAGGCTGAACTCAATAGACTAATGCCCCGGTCTAATATATCACACATTAGTCTGATAGCTCCAGGAAGCCTCAGGGGCTCAAAAATATAGCATTTCATTACATTCAACGTTGGTTTTCTCTGGGGGAATATTGGAGATTAAGACATTAAATAATATTGAGGATTAAAGGTTACATTTTGATCCTTGAACTTTAGAATTGGTTGGTTGGTTGGTTGTGTGTGTCAGTTGTTTATAGGCCTCAATATTGTTGTTTTAGATTTAGAAAAGGCTTATCAGTATCCGTACTTTCAATTATTTTAATTTACAGCGTCTGTCTTGTCTGTCTTATCATTAATGGTTCATCATTTCAAAAGTTGACTTTGTGCACATTGTATATACTGTACAGTGCTTTTTCATGCTTTTTTGTGTGTGCATTAAATATGTGATGTCCTTTGTATTATAACCATTTAATAATTATTTCTCCTCTTTGATTTTTTTTTGTTTTTTTTTTTTCAGACGATTGGGAATGATGGTTACTGTCCATCCTTCTTTTCATCCATGCTTACCCTCTCACCATTGGCCATTGTTCCTTTTATTAAGATCAGCAGCATTGTATTGAAGTAAGGATTAGGGCACATTCAAGTATTTGTATCATTGTCTTATTGTTGCATATTAAAAGAGCCATGCATTATTTTCAAGCCAACTTTGTTAAAGTTGAAAGATTTGATAGATTATGAATGTGCTGAGTTTGTATTTTTCCTTAAAATGTTCCCACAAGTTTTGCTTTGTGTGGCTAAATATTTTGTCATCATATTTCAACTGCACTCTGTTATACACTCTGCTATGGCACAGTTACCACGGTGTTTCCACACCATGAGGATAAGGGGGAGGGGGTGTGGTAAGCTGTAGAAATAGATGCTCGATGCGTAACTGCCAGGAGACTTCTTAATTAAATTTGTCTTCTTTTATGGAATGCCACCATACAGATACAAGCTTGTTTTGGTACAATATTTTATTTACTTATTTATTTATTTATACAGTTATCAAAGCACCACAAGTTTGTATACTGTATATTACATTCCTTTGCATGTAGTCTAAATATTTTACCTTATCCTACTTACATCATCATACATGTGTGTGTGTGTGTGTGTGCTTAACAGGTATTCCTTCCTCTATATGTTTTATGAAAATAATTGCTTTGTTACAGTTAGTCTCACAATGTAGTATTCCAGTCTAGCCAAGAAACATTGCTGTTGAATGCAAGCCTAGATGTATGTTTCAATAGTGTTGCCTTGGGAAGCATAGTCGTAGATAGTCTTTGCATGGTCTTTTGCAGTCATTGTGGCAATACAAAATTGTGTGTGATAATATCTGGCACTTTACATGGGTGATTATCATTATTGTAACGTCTAGCATGTGGAACGCCGTCACAGATCTTGCCATTTGTTTTACGTGGACTGAAGAGACTAAACACTTCATCCCTGAAAATATGCTCTTGCACTGTTTATTCTGTCTTTGTTGATTCATTTTATATGAATGTGCTTCAAAAAATTGAAAAGCAAATTAAAATTTAAAATTAATGTACCTGTATGTATGTCTGAACATTATATGGACAGTATGTATATATAGTATACTGTATATGTATTCTTTATTTTCTTAAATCAAAATATTCATAGTCTTTCTTAATACAATTGTCAGTGGCATGACTTGATCAAAATTTTACCATACACTACATTCCTTATTCTTTTCTTGTACAGTACAGTATAGTATTTCAATCTGTTTGTACATCTCTCAATGCCATTCTTTATGGTATTTACAGTGATGTAGTGATCGGCTACATTTCTTCAGTCGGTACATTATTCGTTCGGCAAGTAGACTTCATTTTGGAAAATGTATCCAAGCAAGCAGTGCTTTTTGAGGAATAAATTGAAAATCATATTAATAGTGAATCCTAGACTAACCTAAGGTTATGGATTTTTGGGATACCTTGGCTGCATCACACCTTGGATAAAAGGCTCATTCAGTGCTGGTTGTGTCATCCTAATTTATACCGATTCCAAATACTGAAGCATCCTATGGCCATTTCTCAAAATAGCACGGGTTAGTTTAAGGTAAGGAGCCACAATTCTCAAATTACTCCCAAGAAATTGCTGTCCCCTTTTTTCAGTACTGTAGTGTCTTTCCGAAATAGATCACAACAATGTTGTTGCTTTCTCAAGTCTCTTATTTAGTATTTTTCCATTCGTCTTTAACAACCCTTTTATTCCTCCTTTCTCACTCTAATGCGATTGCTGAGGTAACTCAAGTCTCTCTTTCCACATATTCTTGTTTTTCAGTGTTCTCAGTGTTGGCCAATGACTGCTGCTTCACTTGTATGAGAGCCAACTCAGCATGTAGAATTTTTACGGAAATGGGAGCGCTCCTTCAAAAGTCTCTATTTCAAGAAGTTGGTCAAAAGGTTATGAAAAGCACTGCATAACCCTCAGGTTCCACTGTTTGGCTCATGACTTTAGCCCCAAATTCAATCCAAAATATCCGATGAAAATTTTACATGTGGCCAACTTTTAAGGATGACAATGCATCATTTAACAAGCAGAATTATTAAATGTGTGACTTTTTTTTCAGTAAACTTGACATGTCTGATGATTTTATCATTATGAATAATAATGGAGAAGAACTCACAGCCCTTCCGATATTATTCTTCCTGGGAACATTGCCTTTGTCGCTAGCCATGGGTGCTGCTGCCTGGGGCCTAGTCCTGCTTTGTGGCAATGCAGCACACGCCTTTGTTATTAGGTGAGTGTTATTTGTGTTGCATATATTCTAGCTAGTATTATTTGGATATTTGTCATGGAGTCTTACATTTCATTCTGCTCAGAGTGCTTTACTTGGATGCCAAGATTACTGAATGTCTTAGTGGACAGAATCATGACACCTAGGGACTCCCTTGTGCATTGACACAGCAGAAATATTAACAACTACTAATCCGTTATCCAAAAATAAAATACCTTTGGTTACTATGGCTGGAATGTACAAAATATGCACCTTCAAAAAAGTCCAGATTTTATGCTGTTAGCTTGTAAAAAGAGTCCCCCAAAAAATGACAACCACCAAATACAACTTCAAGGCCTAATATAGTGCATGTGTGTGTGCTAAATATGGCATAAGATTACAATTGCTAGGCCCAAGATTACTTATTTAGGATCACAATATGCTATTAGATTTATGGTTAATCTGTTTCAAATACAGTATTATGTACTGTACTTAGAATTCTGATAGTACAAAATGTAGATCTTTTCTGGGGGGAGCCCCTACGGCTCCCTGGAGCTTATCGGGCTAATGTGTGTTATGTTAGACCGGGACATTAGCTATGGAGTTCAGACCTACCAGGGACCAGCGCCAGAACCTGGCCCCTTCAGAGAGGTTTCAGGGAGCAATGGCCCTGGAAAACCCCATATGGTTGGGGGTTTTCCTTATCTGCCATCGACCGGGGTTAGGCACCCAGAAAGGTAGGCGTAACAAAACAAACCCCACATGGTAAAAAACCTACAACAAAAACTGAACAGAGAGGTAGAAAACTCCCTACAATCCCAAGGAAAACAATCAATCAATTAATTTACTGCCGCGCCGGTCGTCCGCGCAGCCCTCCCCTCCCCGGGAGGGGGAGGGGGGGGCCCGGACCTGTGGTGGTGTGGTGTGCGGTGGCCAGGAGTGCTTCATCAGTACCGGGGCTGCATGCGTCTAGGGCTTCCTTCCCTAGGCGCCCTGTGAGTACTGCCCTTGCGTGTCAGGGTTATCTTCTCTGGGGCGTTCGGGAACCGCTCCCGTAGAGGTTTTTGCTGCTCGGCATTTGCCTCGCCCTTGGGGCCAGCTGGGGCTTGGGGCCCTTGTTTGGCCTTGGGTAGGGAGTGGTTTTGTGCTGGTTAGGGCGTCAAGGTGTTGCGCGGCCTGCCACCTAAGCGGCGACTGGTTCCTGTTGCTCTGGGGAGGGTGTACTTTTGCGGGGTTTTTTTTTGTTTTGTTTTTGGTTGCCTGGTGGAGGTGCTGCCTCGTGGGCCCATAGTTCCCCTGGTATTGTTTTGGTGGTCCTCTGCTAGGCCCCCGTGCTTGTACACGTCCCAGGGGTTTTCAGTATTATCATTTACCCGTGTTTTGTTTGGGTTTCTTAACCGGTTAGCAACACCTTGCCCGGGCTTCCCGTAGTTGCTACCCTACGGGCCCTGGAAACCCCTGTCGGGGCTCGGGGACCCATGGAGGCGTCTCTAGAGTTCCAGCCTGCCTTGTGCGGGTTTGAAGGTTGCAGTGTGCCCTTGTCTCAGGGTGACAGTCACCTGTTTTGCCTCCGTCATGCTGCCTGTTGGGTCAATGACACCTTTGACCCGGAGTCTTGCGAGTCCTGTTCTCTGCTTATGCTCAGGTTTTACTCTGAGGATGTTCCTATTAGAGTACAGGCAGCATCAGCGTTGCATGTTAGATTTAGGTTATTGCAACGCGCTAGGTCGGTTTCCCGCCTGGATGCCCCGAGGCTGCCCCGTTTTGGCTTTAGGGACCCTGACCTGGGGGCATTGATTGCTATGGCTTTGACTCCTACGCCCTCTGGTCCTTCCCCTGTGGTTCTTCCTGCACCACCCCCCCTGTGTCCGGCTCCGAAACGTATGCGGCTTTCGGCCTTGGCACAGGATTTAGTTGGTGGAGAGACTCGGGCTGCTTCGGGGGCTGCCCCATCCGGGTCGGGGACGGAGGCATTTGAGCCGGTTCCTCCTGCCGAGGCTTCTGGGTCCCACCAGCAGGCCCCCTTGTCTGCCTTTCCCTTGGACTCTACCTTTTCTTCAGGGGTAGAGGGTTTGGAGGACGGCTCTGCCCCGGGTCCCGACGCAAGGGATCCTGGGGCTGGGGAGGAGTCGGCCTGGGGGCCTTGGGCCCCCTGTGACCCCGCTTGGGTGCTTTTGCCTTCCCCACGGGGTTTATTGTTGCAGGGGGAGGGGTTTTCTTATCCTCCCTCCCTGTATGAGTATGATTTGGGTTCGGCTCCTCCCCGTGTTCGGTTCCGGGCGCCTTTGGGTACCTCGGCTCCGTCTTTACAGGGGTTTGCTATTTCCCGTCTCTCCGCGAAGGTGGCTCAGGAAGCTCTTGCTGCATACCTCTTGCGAGACCCGGGTTATGCCTCCCCAATGGATCCGTCCTCGTTTGAGTTCGGTTCTTCTTCCCGTTTTTGGGTACGTTTGGAGGTTCCGGGGTCTTCCTGGCTAGCAGACTGCCCTTTCTTTTCGTTGGGGGCGTGGCATGGGTTCTGTCGGACCCGCACGCTTGATTGGCGCGAGACTGCTACTTTTATGCAGGTTTACCTGGGGGGCGAGTTTGAGCACCTTAATGCGTGCTTATTCGCTCCTGTGCTTTCTCGGGATGTTGGCCTTTTCCAGCTTCACGTGCAGGTTCCTCAGCTTTCGGCTTCATTGGTTGCGGAGGAGTTGCGCTCCCGTGGGCATTTGGCTTCGGTCTTGCGTTTCTTTTCCCTTCTCGAGCTCTCTTCTGCTTGGCTCGAGGAGGATGTGGGAGCGTTGGCTGAAGGGCCTTCGTCCGGGGCGCTTTCTTCGGCAGCTAGGGCGTCGGCTGCACTGTTGAAGCTCTTTGCGCCCATCCTGAAGGAAGCGGTGTCTCTGTTTTTTGCTTCTCGCCTCGCGTGCCGTCAGGCTGTGCTCGCCCTCTCTTTGGATTCCGCTTGGGCCCTGGCTCTTAGGTTTTCGTCTCCTTTTTGTCCGTTGCTGTTTGCAGAGTCTGCGGTGTCCCAGTTTCTGCATGCGGCTTCGGCTAGTTGTCGTCCTATGGCGGACTTGTTGATTCTCCGGAGCAGTCGTTCTCGGCAGTTTCGGAGGGGTCGTGCCAGGGTTTCGGTTTCCGCTGGTCGAGGTGGGCCTTTGGTGCCGGTTTCTGAGCCGTTGTTCCCTTTGGGGCCAGCGTCGTCTGGGCGGCGCAGTGCTCGCCCTGTTCGACGGTTGGGTTCTCGTGCGGGGCGTCGGCCCTTTCGCAGTTTGCCCCGTTGACGGGGCGATGGGGGGGGGAGGCTCGCTCTGTTTGCCCACGCTTGGTCCCACGATTTGTGGGCCTTTTCGATCGTGTCATCCGGCCTGCGGTGGCGTTGGGCGACTCGTCCTCCTTTGGGGGGTTCGGGGCTAACAGGGCAGGTCTCTTCTCCTGCGCTTCGTCAAGTCATCTTGGAGTGGGTGCGCTTGGGCGTGGTCGAACCGACTACGTCCCTCAGGTGGGTTTCCCGCCTGTTTCCAGTGCCGAAACGGGACTGTGCGGATCTGAGGTTCATTCTGGACTTGTCCCGTCTGAACCCCTGGATTCCTTGCCCCTCCTTTCGGATGACTACTCTGTCTCAGGTCCGGCTTCTGTTGGAGCCGGGTGCCTGGATGGTGTCCCTGGACCTAAAGGACGCGTATTGGCACGTTCCTATTCATCCGGGGTTCAGGGACTGGTTAGGCTTCGTGGTAGGGCGTCACGCTTACCGTTTTCGATGCCTACCTTTTGGCCTGAATCTGGCACCTCGCGTTTTCACGCGTCTGACCCGAGTTGTGGTGACCCGTCTGCGTCTTCTAGGGATTCGGGTTTTGGCCTACCTCGACGACTGGCTGGTGTGGGCTCCCAGTCGGTCAGCTTGTCTGCTCGCCAGGGATTTGGTTCTTTCCCAGCTCGCCAGGTTCGGGTTCCTGGTGAACTGGAGGAAGTCCCATCTGGTTCCGTCCCAGGTTCGGACCTGGCTGGGTCTTGTTTGGGATTCTCGGACCGCTTCCTTGTCTCTACCTCCGGTGGCGTTGCGGCGGCTGCGGGACCGCCGTTTGCTGTTTCTGAGAGGGTCCCGGGTCACTCGGCGGTTGCTCGAGCGGTTGTGCGGGAGTCTGAACTTCGCCATGCTAGTCTACCCGCCGGGTCGGGTTTGGCTTCGGCGTCTGTTTTGGTTCCTTCGGGGACGTCCTTTCCGCCTCTCTCGCGATCGTTGGGTTCGCCCTCCGGGGGTCTTATGTCGGTTGCTGCGTCACCGTCTTCCTCTTCGGATTTTTCGGGGTTCGGTGCCTTGGCGCCTTCCCGAGCCCTCGCTCGATGTGTTCACGGACGCGTCGTCTCTCGGCTGGGGCTTTGTGACCAGTGCTCACCAGGCAGGCCAGGGACGGTGGGGTCCTTCCTTCCATCGGGCTCACAGCACGGTTCGGGAGTTCGCGGCTGTCTGGTTCGCGCTTCGGAGGGTTCGGGTCGCTCGGGGATCGACCATTCGCCTCCATTCGGACTGTTCTCCGGTGGTTCATTGCCTGAACCGCGGGGGTTCTCTTCGGTCCTTGGCTCTTTGGGGTTGGTCCCTTCGAGTGGTTCGTCTGCTGGATTCTCGGGGTTTGGCTCTCCGTGCGGTTCACGTCCGGGGAGTGTCCAACGTTCTGGCGGACGGTCTGTCTCGCTTCCTTCCCCTGTCCACGGAATGGACGGTCGACGACGACTCGTTTTGTTGGATCTGCCAGACGTACGGTCTCCCGGATGTGGACCTCTTCGCGTCGGCATGGTCCCGGCGTCTCCCTCTATATGTGACGCCCTTCCCCGACTGCGAGGCGTTCGCGGTGGATGCTTTTCGGCAGGACTGGTCGAGGTGGGGTTACCTGTACCTTTTTCCTCCGGTCCAGCTGTTGCTTCGGGTTCTGGTTCGGTTAGAGACATTCCCGGGGAGAGTAGTCCTCGTGGCCCCTTGGTGGCCGGCCCAGCCTTGGTTTCCGGTGCTTCTGGCTCGGTGCCCGAACCCGGGACGTTTCCCGCGGCTCCGCCTCTTTCAGCAGGTCGGCCCGATCCGGTACGGGGCTGGTTCGACCTTCTCTTCTGCTCTTCGCGTCTGGTCTTTTTGACGCGGGTGTATCACCATTTCTATGGTGATCAGGTGGCTTCTTTGATGGTGTCCCACCTGAGAGCTTCGTCTAGGCGACAGTATGAAGTTTCCTGGCTTTCCTTTCACCATTTTCTGGCTCTTCGTAGGTTGTCTTTTCTCTCGGATCGGGTTGTTTTGTCCTTCCTTACTTGGCTTTTTCAGGACCGTCATTTGATGCCTAATACTGTCGCCTCGTATCGTGCGGCGCTGGCGGAGCCGCTCCAGCTCGCTTTCGGGGTGGACGTCACATCCGCCCCGTTTCGTAAGCTTTCCCGTGCTATGTTTCACCTCCGGCCTGCTCATGCGCCGCCTGAGCCGTCCTGGTCCTTGGACAGGGTGCTCTCCTATCTTTCCTCTCCTCGGTTTGTGGTGGCCCCTTCGGTTCCTGATTATTTTTCCAAGGCTTTGTTTTTGTTGGCATTGGCCTCTGGGGGCCGGGTAGGGGAGCTTCATGCTCTCCTCCGGCGCAGGGGTTTCTGTTCTTTTGGTCCTGGGGGTAGGTTTGTCCGTTTGCAGCCTTCTCCGTCCTTTCTGGCGAAGAACGAGACGGCTGCTTTCCGGAGGGGTCCGTGGGTCATTGATGCTTGGTTGGTTCGGCCGGGGGTGCATCATGTGTTGTGTCCTGTTGTAAGAGTCCAATTTTTGTACAGTCCATCCATAATGGCTATATTACTATCATTTAATGATTACTCAGTACCTATTTTTTTGTTTTTAAGTCTTGCTTGGCTAGTTTTCCACTTCCCCCCCCCCCCCCCCCCTCACCACCACCAGATACCAGTGCCCTCACTAACACTAAATTCCCTTCCCTCTATGCTCTCATCACAGTCTTCCTGACTTGTTCCTGTGATGGATCTCTTGGCCTTGAGACCAGAGTTGGCTAAATAACTTATGTTTATCCTTAGGAACCTAGGTTTCATGTGTAAGTTGACTTGTGTATACCGTGGTTATCTTATGACAATTCTGGGGATCAGTGTCTTAGTCTGTTTGCGTCTTAACAGCTATTAACCCTGAGTAATCTTTCTCTGCACAACGAGATAACGGTTACATGATATATCTACGAGAAAATATTGAAGCCATGGTATGGGATTGAACCCATATTGCTGAACTCTTCAGGCACGTGCACTACCAGCTGAACGAGGGTGGGCTTAAAAGTATCTCAAGCCCGTGTGGTCTAGTCGATAGTGTGAGTATGCAGGAGGAGTTCAACTATGTGGATTCAGTCCTTTGATATGGCTTCAAAATTTCTTCTTGTCTTTTCTGTTCTAGGTCAGGTCATGCTTCACCGGTAGGTTCTAACTTATGGTTCATGGTTACCGGGTGCTTTTATTACAAGACTAAGCATTTGTGCTGCACACTTCTTCTTGGGGACATATGGTTATGTATGTAAGCAAATTGCGTGTGTACACCCCCTTACCTCAGGTCTCATACTGGCCAAGATGTTTGTGGCTGTATAGTATGAGGTATTTGTTTTTTTGTCTTTTCAGTTACAGGCTACCCTCGTCCTTGGAATGAGCCGGTAACTACCCTACGACTCCTAGGCTTTTCCTTCATCAATTGAAGCTAAATTGAGCAATTATCTTTGATTTTGGTTATGGCCAGTGTGCAGGGAATTTAAATTAAATGTTCAGGGACAGTTGTGTTAACTTTATGCCAGGCATGCTGTTTGTAACACCATCCTTATCCCAAGTCTGGTTTGGCCATGTTGTTTGTACCTGACCAAATCATAATGGCTATATTACTATCATTTCTAGTTACACCTACCTGTGGAACACAGTGTTTCCATTTATATCTTAATATCCATAGATATCAAATATATAACAGCACTTGGACATACTATGATCATCCAGAGTACGATGTTTTCGTTAAATTTATGTAACCTTGCGGTGGAACTTGTGTAGTAAAAGTATATAGTATGTCTTTGTGTGTATTTGTGTACACAAAATTTTCATTTATCCATGGATAATCATTTATCATATAACAATGGATTGAGACACTACTATAAGAGCTCAGTAATCCAATTGCAGGAAACTAAAGCTTTGGGTTATCCAAATAAATTGATGTTCATGATGTGCAGGTAAACAGCAGTAGGTAGGAAGTAAACTATGAAAATGCAAGGGGTAAATGGCAGAAGCAAGCTTGTAAATGATGAAAGTGTAAGGGTAAATGGAAGATGTAACTGGATTGTGGTACAAAAAAATTGCAAATTTGTTCATATTTGCACATTCTTGGTAAGAATTTTGGCTAACTCAAATGTTCGGCTAGCTTGAAGGTTTGGGGAACTCGAATGATGCAACATGATTTGGACTGCCGAGCATAGACAGTATGCTTTCCTTGAATTGGATGTTTTCAATAAATTTATGTAACATAAGGATGAAATGTACAATATAAAGAAAATAACCATTAGGGGTTTTTCCAAAGGTTCATGTGAGTGGTCAGGGAATTTGCATCTCTTCACTTTGGAAGCAATAACCGTATGCTTACCTCGCACTGCTTTATACTGTGCCATCACTATTCAGGAAAACAATTATGGTGTACTGTATGTGTAATTGATAATTAAATGTATATCGGCCTCTGATACTTCTGTTAGGCTCAAAGTAACTTCCATCTTCCAGGGAAGCCAGTCAACATGTTTGTGAGCCTCATCCTGTTCAAAGCAATGCTAGGTAGATGGCTTACCTGCTGATTGTTTTGTGTGTTAGTGGGTTCAGTTCTCAACCCTCTGGTGGATTCATAGGATTCCCTCACATTAGAGGTAGATTTCCTCCTTTGGTTCAGACAAGTTGGCAGTCAAATCCATAGGATCTAAATGGCTGTGTTTGAACCCAGCTTTTGAGCTTTCAGCTACAAATAGTTTGGGTGGTAAGTGCTAGTTTCCCCATTCCTTGTGCTTTCTGCAGAGCTTAAATGTGCCAAAATTAGAAGATTGAAGAAAGAGGTGATAAGATCACTATGTATAAAATAGTAAATGATATCAATAAAATTGATAGGGAAGAATTTCTGAAACCTGAAACTTCAAGAACAAGAGGTCATAGATTTAAGCTAACTAAACAATGCTGCCAAGGAAATATAAGAAAATTCCCTTACACAACTAGTGGTAAACAGTTGGAACAAATTAAGTGAGGTGGTGGTGGAGACCAAAGCCATATGTGAAAACATAGTCGGAACACGACGAGCGTAGCTTTCATCCTGTAACTACACTTGGGTAGTTACACTTACTGGCAGGTAATATGTTGTCTATCCATTCATATTTCAGAATTCTGGGACACAGACTGGGTGGAACAGATGTGATTGCTGATCTTGCAGTGTCAGGACTGTCTCGTGTGCCAGTAGTGGTGTGTGTAGCACTGACCTCTCTGGCTTATTCTTCATGTGGCACTCTGGCACTGAGCATGGCTGGCATGTTTTACTTCATAAAGGTAGGAAAATTGGATAAAGAACACCATTTATTGTATCATTTTGGTATTATCAGACTTAGATATTTATTCAGGATTGTAGAAAATACAAATGGTTTGCAGTTTAGGGAAAATTATTGGATAAGTCTTCTATAAAATTGATAAAAGTAATGCAAATAGCAAATTGGCGAGATAGAAAACGTCCCTGTGTAAACCCTTATTTTTCTGTGGTTCCTTATAGTCTAAAATTGTTGCTTCTAGGGACTTGCTCACAATTTCTGGAAAGCTTATTGTTCAGTAGGCCACAGCAAGAGTACAAATTCACCCCTTCTTGAATATTGGGACCACATTATTGACCCTCCTGGGATTAGAGACTACACCAGTATTAACTGATATGAATGCATCAAATGCTGCATGTATCTGAGATAAGCCCAGCGTGCGCCCACCCGCAGCAAGACCGTAAGTCGGCCAAGGGTTACCCGTGAGCAAGAACCGGTGGACCGGAGCCGGTGGTTGAGCGGACAGAACACTGGACGCTTGATCCTGTGGTCCCGGGTTCGATCCCAGGCGCCGGCGAGAAACAATGGGCAGAGTTTCTTTCACCCTGATGCCCCTGTTACCTATCTTGAGGTTATCTTGAGATGATTTCGGGGCTTTAGTGTCCCCGCGGCCCAGTCCTCGACCAGGCCTCCACCCCCAGGAAGCAGCCCGTGACAGCTGACTAACACCCAGGTACCTATTTTACTGCTAGGTAACAGGGGCATAGGGTGAAAGAAACTCTGCCCATTGTTTCTCGCCGGCGCCTGGGATCGAACCCGGGACTGCAGGATCACAAGTCCAGCGTGCTGTCCGCTTGGCCGACCGGCTTCCCGGTTACCTAGCAGTAAATAGGTACCTGGGTAATTGATTTCCCAAGGCCTGACAGCTAAGTGGACAGCATTTCGGATTCAGAAACTTTTTCCACCAGTCTGAGAGTTCTGCCCCAATATCATGAGCAAATCCACACATCCCTTGCTTCAGCAAACCAGATTTCATCAAATTGGGTGAGTAAATCCAGCTTGAAAAGTGTGCTTTCCAACCAGAGATGTGTTGAGTCAAGTTTCCACTCTATTGCAATATTTTCCATGGGAAATAAAGTATTGGTGCTGTACAGTAGAGGTAACAGTAAAACTGTAAAGTAGTACACTACTTTAAACAACTATAATGTTTCAACAGGTTTTCAAGCTATATGAAGACTACATAGAGAGAATTGTGTTGGGACTAATACCAGGTACATCAGGCAGTGGAAAGTCAACAGATCGGGCTCTGTCGAGAGTCCACTTCCACCTGACTCTCATGATGTTGGTGTTCCTTGTTGTCATCCTCAACACACCAACTCTTGTTATTTGGAGTAGATTAGTAAGGTGAGGCATAACTTAATTCTAGCCTTTGTGATTACATGTGTTTTGGAGTTAAGGCAATATAACCATAAAATTATATAAAATGCTTGTGAAATATATTGATCATGATTGTAGGCATGGAAAACTTAATCTTACTGAATTGGTGTAAAGAAGTAACACAGAAATCACAATAGCGTGATATATCAAATGAACAAATCCACAAAGGTCGTGATGAGGGTTCAAACCTACATCCGAGATAATCTGTGTGAGGGCAGTAACACTCCCGGTTGCAATTCTTTAGACCATGTCGTGGCGCAATCGACTAAGGCGCGTCTGGGACTATCTTGGACATAGGTTCGAAGCCTCATTGCAGCCCTTGTGGATTTGTTCAAGTAACATACAGTTGTCAGTAATGGAGTTGTATATTTACAGTAATAATCTACAGCTTACGGAAGACCCGACACTTGCAGTAACAATCGTTGTTCTAGTCACACTCTGTTTCCTATGGCAGAAGAAACTCCCAAATATGGACAGGTAATTATTTACAAACTTCAAAGTTATTTAATACATCCCTGTGTAAGCCTCGTGTTCTTCTCAGGAATTGTATCAACTACCGAAACATCTAAGCAAGTTAAATGTTCATTGCCTTCGTAACCTTTTAATATAATGTCTGCAATTCTTTTCAATAAATTGATGAATTTTGGCACACTTCTCCTCTGGTCAGGATCTTCCAGTTATAGCAGGTCAGCATTCTGCACTAGCATAGCAGGCACCTTTCTAAAATACTGTATCCCCATCAGGTTATACTGGTGATGGGAAGACACAAGAATACTGAATTCAAAGCTGATTGTAGACACAAAAGTGTTGTACATAAATTAAAAAGCTTTTCCAGCGGCAGTTTTAGTAACAGAGATTGCCAAGCTGTGTCCTGGTTGTAGCCTCCAGTTGCCTCAACAGTTTGCTCTCCAGCTCAACCTTGTTACATTCTAGCCTGCTTGCAAGCTACAGGCAGGCTGGGATACGTACTTTCTGTTAAGTGGTTTGCATTATCTTTTGAAACACTTTGATTCTTTTGTGCAGTGGACTTATGCTACTGCAGTATAGTGAATACAATAGTGTGCATAAACATGCCCATTCTCTCCCAACTTCCAGCAACCAATGGCTTGACTTTTTTACTCTGGTATGGATTGGTTTGAGTCTTTAAGCAGTGGTGATTATTCTCTTAAGTTTCCCCACTACATTTGTAACTTTGATTTCCCATTGTTGGGGACTAAAAGCCTGTTAGGCTCATTGAGGTCTCCCTAGGCCAACACCTGACCTTAACCAGGATGTAATTCATAACTATCAACTCCCAGGTACCTATTTACTGCTAGGTGAACAAAGAACATCAACTGTTTGAAAATGTGCCCAACCTCTTGCTTTTACCAGGAATTGTATACGGGTCCATTCAATTGTGAGCCAAACCGTACACACTATGGTTGTGCTAGGATATAATCATATGTGCTGGTTACTGCTTGTTTTACTGTCCAGTTCTCTCATGTTCTGATTCAGTAGTGCACTAATAATGGTATTTCTCCTCTTAAATTTACTGCTACATTTATCACTTCATGGCATTGTGTCTAGCCCCTCATGTTTGTACTGTGCATGAAATGTGGCCAGTTGATTCTAGAGTGTGTGTGATTTTGCAGTGTGTTTACCTCAGGAATCATTTGGCAGGGTTTTATTGGCTATAATGTATTTGTTCTTTTTCCTTTTGTTTAGATGTTTAGTTTGCCTGCAAAAGTGTTTCAGTACTGAGGGGCTTAGGGTATATCCACTCTTGACAGTGCTCCTGTGGTGCTTAACATCAACACAGGGGACTACTCCTGTTCTCTTCCAGTGTGGTATTAGATACTGGCCATAACTTCTTGTATGGGTTCATGGAATTTCACCTTGTAAAGGTACACATTCACAGGATGCAGATTGTGCTCTCACAGATATTCCTGGTTTTGCTTAATACATAGTCTTAGAACTGGACTAGGTCTCCTTCCTTTGGATATGTGACACATTTGGCATTCCATAGGTGGATTTCTTTTCATCTGTATAGAACCACAAAATTCCTGAGGTTCATTGATCACAAAGCTTTTGCTATTGACAGGCTTCATCTCAACTGAACCAGTTAATCTGTCATTTCATGCCAAGATGCTTTTAACATATTTTTGGAAGCTAGAGAGCTTTGTGGGCCACATGATTTTCCTACCTTACCTGTAGAGGTAAACAGGTAACTTTTCCTTGCTTGGTACTCGCTTCCCCTTTCAGACCAGGAAAGATCTCTGAATTAAAGGGAATACAGAGAACATATATGGCATGCATAGAAATGGTAAAACATCTGAATAACTGGGACCCTTTCAAAGCTCTCAAAATGTACTCTCTGGAAAGGAGACAAGAAAGGTATCAAATAATATACAACATATAGAAGATACTGGAGGGCCAGGTCCCAAATTTGCACAGTAGAATAACATCATACTGGAGCAAAAGATGCAGAATGAAATGCAGAATAGAACCATTGAGGAGTAGAGGTGCCATAGGCACAATCAGAGAGCACTGTCTTAACATCAGGGGTCCACTGCTGTTCAACACCCTCCCAGCAAGCATTATAAATATTGCCGGAACGAAGGTGGATGTATTCAAGAAGCCATTGAACAGGTTCTTGCAAGAAGTGCCGTACCAATCAGACTGTAGTGGATATGTGGGCCTGCGGGCTGCTCCAAGCAACAGCCTGTTGGACCAAGTTATCACAAGTTGAGCCTGGCTTCAGGCCGGGCTCGGAGCATAGAAGAATTCCCAAAACACTCTCCAGGTATGCTCTAGGTCTGTAGCCTGTTCAGCCATGATTCTCAATCTGGTTTCTTTTCTTGACTTTCACTTCATGCAGAGGATCAGCTCTCGGTGTTACATACCTCCAGGCTCTCAGCCACTCTTCACTTGTGAAGTTTCTAGAGCAGATTTATTACCATCTATATTGGAAATGGATGGCTTTCTGGTCAATCTCAGGAAGTCTCATTTGGTATGGAACATCAGGGTGGCTACCATCTCTCTCCCAGAGGTGGTCTTGTTGTGTTTGTACATCCATCTTTGTCTGGTGTTGAGCAGCTTCCAACTGCCCTGATGGGAACCCAAGCACCTGTCAATAGACCTTAACTTTGTGTGGTGTATCCCTTGGGCTGTTTGTGATTAAAGATGCTTTACTGTGCCATCAGTGCTGGTTTGAACTCCAGCAGTTGTAGGGCCCAGCATTGCAAACCCTGTTATGCCTGAGGTGGATTTTGCTTCTTCATTTTCCTCCTCTGGCTTTTTGGAGTTAAATTCCTAGGCATCCCTACCTTCTGCAACTTGAGCAAGCTGTTTATGGGCAAGTCACGGTTTCGGCTGGTGTTAGGCTGGAAATTTGCTTTTACTGGTCACTGTGTTGATTAGGATGGGTGACCACTGCAGATGCTGCAAGTTCACATTACAGTGGATGGATCTTTGCTGCATCTATTAACAGTAGGGTTTGGGCTTTCATCTCACAAATTGCCTGCCAGTGGTTTGCTGCTTGAATGGAAAAAAAAAGACAGTAGGGAAGGAAAGGTGGGTGGAATATTAAACTTATCCTTTTTCCCTATGCAGGTGGCCTTGCTTCTGGATTATTAGTGTGCTGTACATTTGGTGAGCCATGAATGGGTTTACAGGGAGGGGTGGTTTATCCCACTTCTTTCTGATTTTGACATAGCAGGAGATGGTTAAGGCTTCCTCCTAGTGGATATGGGAGTTGTTCAGGCATCCTTCACTGAATCTCTATATCGGCATGTAATTGGCAGCTTCCACTGTATGCAATACTGTTTATCAGTTGCATGGCCTAGCAGTGGACACATTTTACCTGGACGGGACTGAGTGGGGCTTCCTTGTATGTTATTTTTGGTTCAGGTGCTACTACTAGTGTTATCCAATCTTAAAGATGTTTGTGGGCTATTGTATTAGGTCTGATATGTATAGCTCTGGTTTCTGGCTCCTCTCTTGTGTTACCTTTCCCAGAAGATTGGTGGCTTTATTTACGTGGATCTTCTTATCTTGAGATAAGAAGATCCACGTAAATAAATGGATGGTTCCAGTCTTTCCACCAATCTTCACGTGTAGAGTTTTTAGTTTGATATACAGTATCACCACCTGTATGAGAGGCAGTGGTGGTCATTTTACTGTCATATCTGCAAGAGTCTTTTAGGTGACAGTAAGAGTTGGCTTATGGGCCTTCCACTAGATTTTAACCATGTATATAATGTATATTGAGACTCCAAAATTGGAAAATATAATTCAAGCCACATTCAAACTGAAACTGTAATCAAAATGAGAACATTTTGCAATTTGTAGCATCTTATGTAATGATTTATTTATATTTTTCAGAAAATTCTACAAGCAGGCATCTTGGATGGTGCACTTCATGTCGTGCATCACACTGATGTTCGGCAGTGTGCACGTATACCGTGTGTCGTACTTCATAATGGGAGCTCTAATAATGGTTGCCTTACATCAGACTTTGGCTCCCCATGCATCTGATGATGATGAAAATGAAGATGATGATCCACCTAGCAGAAGCAACCAGCCTTTCATGGCTCAAGTAATGACAGAAGATACCACCGCCACAGAGGGTACTCACTCGGCAGCGACCACACCCGGCTCGGATGGTTCTCAGAACACTGGAGAGTCGGCCAGTGAGTAAAGCACTATTGTGAGGCATTTGCAGTGCTTCAAGATGTCTTTGGGTGTGAGATTCAATATATAATATAATGTTCTGTTTTGTTTGATTGTTGCAAGAAGTTTATTAAAACTGAGCACTAATCATAAGTACAGTACTGTATTAGATGATTTATTTCAGCAGCTGACAATTGTGTGTTTCACATATTTGGTTCGTACACATGCAAGAATGTGAATGAATGAATGAATAAACAAACAATTGATTGTTATCTATGGTAGTAATTATCCAAACTATATAATTATCAAATATTTTTATTATTTGTTATTTTAAGTTTTATTTTTAGACTGATAAAAACTTGTCACATTTCTAATATGTTGTTGTGGTTAAACAAGTTAATACCATTCACGTCAGACTTGTTCAGGTTTGTGATGTATACTGGAGTGTGTGTGTGTGTACATACATAATGTCAAAAGATAAATGTTATATGCAGATTGTTCATACAGGTAGTCCCCAACTTAGTAACAGAAGTTGGAATCAGATATCCTATACACACAATGCTATAAATGCAGGATACCTTGCTGTTATTTTATGTTGATTCCAAGGACCAATGTTCCCATGGCCTGGTCTTAAGGCTGTAGATGCAGCTGCTCATAGCATGGTTAATTAGGTATTCTTTGGAGGTGTTTTATCACGTTCTCTTTTGAACACTGTGAGAGGTCAACTAGTTATACCCCTATGTTTAGAGGGAGAGTGTTGAAAAGCCTTGGGTTTTGATGCTGACCATTCTCTTTTACCATGCCTGTTGCACTTGTGTGTTTCAACAGAGCTATTTTGCATTTCCTGCCGTGGCTCCTGGTCTCGTGTTGTGGTATTTCCATGTACAGATTTGGAATCAGTCCCTCTAAATGTTTTTCAAGTGTACATTATTTTGTTGCCTCTCTCTCCCACTTGCCCACTAGAGAATGCAGATTTAACAAATTTAAGCAGTCCTAATAATTTAGATGTTTTTGTTTTAATTTGGTAGTTAAAATTATTTGTACATTTTTCACCTTTGAATGGGGCTGTTATTGTACAATAATGTTCCACTCTGGAGAGCACTAATGTCTTAAAATATATCATCATTGGTCTGGCATCTCTTGTTTGAAATATTGTGGGTGGCAAGTCAGAGGGGCTTTGTTTGACCCCCAAGCACCGAGACGTAGAACAGGTATACAGTACTTTTGTTCAACATGACCTGTAATGAGGACACAAGGACCTTTGTCTCAAACCTCAAGATGGGAAGAAGTCTAAAAGCCTATTCCTAATCTAACCCAGTCTAGACCTAAAACAATGGTAAGGGTTAATAAAGATAAAAAAATGTCGTTACTGTACAAATAACTCGGCTAAGGCATGTGACCTTGGAGTAAATCAAATGAGCTTCATTTGTACAAACAGGTAAACCAGCAACTGAGTGTACGCTGTGCACAGCCACAAGTAATTACATCACAGCACAAACTACCAAAGAACAGTGACTGTAGGGGTAAAACTCGAGAAGAAGAAGGAACCAATAATACTATGTCGGTCAGCCCCACCCCTTGGATCAATGGTTATCTTGAGGTTATCTTGAGATGATTTCGGGGCTTTAGTGTCCCCGCGGCCCGGTCCTCGACCAGGCCTCCACCCCCAGCAAGCAGCCCGTGACCGCTGACTAACACCCAGGTACCTATTGTACTGCTAGGTAACAGGGGCATAGGGTGAAAGAAACTTTGCCCATTGTTTCTTGCCGGCGCCTGGGATCGAACCCAGGATCACAAGTCCAGTGTGCTGTCCGCTCGGCCGACCGGTTCCCCGGTCGAACAACAAAGGGTTGGAACAAATGTTTGTTTATGTTCTTTAGTGGATGGGTGAGTGTGTGTTGGAAAGTGGTGATGGATGTCATTAGTGTTGCGGTGTTGCCTCCAACTCGTCAAGTGACGCACGCCTGTGTTCCAACGAGGAACCATATATGGCTCTGAGATTATCCCCATCTTTCCTAGGATGGGGAGAGGTAACCTCACCCTATGGAAAGGGTGAGGTAACAGTGATGGATGGGGTTTAGATTAGGCTACAGTAATATCTGCTAATATGGATCGCCACAAACACACAGCACGAAAATACATAGGGCTTTGTAACTATTTTAATAGGCGAGTAAACGATGAGTGGGTTGACGCATGTCGATGAGAGAATAGGTGAAAGACCGATTGTATAATAATGAGAGAGATAGAGGGGTATGTAGGAGTTGCTGGATGTGAGAAGGAAGCCAAATTACGATTTTCTTTGTTGGAGAGGACAGGTCAGCATGCCATGAGTGTGCGTTATATAATATTAGTGCTAACATTTTAAATTAGTGACTATTAAATGAAAAGCATGTTATGGGAAAAACAGGCATTATACAAAGTTTGATTGTATCTTGATTTGAGAATAATTTATGATAATCATGAATATTGTGCTTTCCTGTTATATGAGAGACAAGTACAGTATAGTTGTTCAACATCATGTGAATATAAAGTGATGAGACAATTTTGTAAAGTAACTTACCCAAAAATTAAAAAAAAAAATTAAAGTTAAATTATAATATTTAAATTTTCTTTAATTAAATGTTGTGAATTCAATTCATATCATCCTGACATTAATTTTTATTTATTTATTTATTTATTTTTACTTAATATGGTTTTTGGCATCTATGAAAGCTCAAGTTATTGATATGACATGCCATATTGGCATTAAAAAAATAAAAAATCTGCTATTGTGTATCTAATATAGTTTGCCATTCAATATAAGCTTTACCAAGATAAGTGTTATTGATTTTAAGTAGATATAGTTTTAAGTACTGTATTAGCAAGGCACCTGGGATTGTAAATTGTTTAATACTAGTAATACATGGGGATTGATACTTCAGTGTGTATGTGTGCAAATGTTACATGCATACATGTTTATTCTGCAGTACTCTACCCTGAAATATAATTATGTTAATGATATGGGTTTTAATAAGTTACATATTTAAAACGTTTCCATTGGTTTTCATGTGTTACGCAAACAGCTGTTTAATAAAGGAATTGCTGAAATTAAACAAGAGTTGTGCTGTAACAGTATTTTAAAATTCATAGGGTCTGTATACTGTACCTTAATTTGTTTTAAACAAAAATCAGTAGCAAATATTTGTTTGTTTATACAGTACAGTATTGCAAATTGTTTTGCTTTTCCTTGGCTATTTTATGGCTTGATTCTAATTATGCTTTCTTAAGAGATTAAACATATAAGCAGCTTAGAAAAAAAAATCATATTTTTATTTTTATTTTAGGAGAGGGAGTAACATTAGTACAAGAGCAGGATATAATATTTATATCTACTTACATGGATAAACCCTATTATGAATGTTATGGTGTTAATTAAACTCTTTCCTTTTTTTCAGTCTTGCTGTCATTACCTCATGTAAACACATGTTATAAGTTTGTGAAGTATATTATTATAATTAATACACAAGTGTGTTTTAACCATCACTGTCATTGTAGCTCAGCAAGTGTATGTAATATAATTACATATGTTTGAGTTAATACTTCCTCTGAATCATTGTGAGAGTCGGGTGTAGCAACTGGACGGTCCTTTAATGTTTTTCACGGACTGAGACCCTGGAAACACAAACCGAAACTGTCTCCATTTTCCGCTTGTTACAACTTGTAATAAAGTTGTTACATCTTGGGTTAACGTGTTTATGACGTATTAGAACGTTGTTACAACTTGCTATATTGGTTATTATAACTGGTTAGGAGGTGTTAAAACTTGTTCGAACGTTGTACCAACGACGTAGTTTCGGTGTGTGTTTGGCGGGGACTGACGGCCACATTTCATGGTCCTGTAAAGGATATACAGTAGTACTAATGAATGGGTCTGTACTCCCCTAGTTGTGCTTGCAGGGGTTGAGCTTTGGCTCTTTGGTCCCACCTCCCAACTGTCAATCTACTGGTGTACAGATTCCTGAGCTTCTCGAGCTCCATCATATCTACATTTGAAGCTGTGTATGGAGTCAGCCTTCACTACATCACTTCCTAGTGCGTGTGTGTGGAAGGGCAGGGGGAGGGGGGGTGTGCATACATGCATGTTTAGATATACAAGAAAACTGTAGGATGATGATAATGGAAAGGGGGTAGTCTGTAAGAAGTAGATAGTCTTCCCCATCTGGCTAAGATAGGGAATTATGTAAACAGAACATGAAGAAAGCAAAAAGATGCAGGAGAAATCTTGCATCTTTAGGTTATACCGTACTTGATAACCAAAAGCTGGTGAAGTGAATTCTAAAAACAATCAAATTGATACATAGGTTGGAGATAAAGCTCAAATAGGAGGAAACAAGTTTGTGAAAATATATAGCATGAATTTAACAACAACAAAATTAATTATAAAAGCCTGGCTATTTCTAGAAATAAACCCCCACATCAAGGTTTTGCCTTGATGAGGTGAGGTGCAGCTCATGTATGACTTCCTGGAGCTATTGGGTGGAAGGAGATGGTTAAAATGGGAGATTCAGTAAGGCCCGACTACATTGGGTAGTCTGGCAAGTAAAGCTAGCCGGACTTGGGTCAAGTAAGTATTGCAAGGCTGGTATCCCCCATCGGTTCCTGGGTTGCCTTTCAGACCCTCTACTGGTTACCAGTGTATACTCTACTTGTGGTGAGGGGACGTGTATGATTCCCAGGGACTAGTAGTGTAAGGGGACACGAGCTTCTAAGCTGTCCCCTAGAGTAAAAATTATCGTAACCTGTCCTTTATTGCACCTCTATAATACAGTAATTCCTATAGTCAGTCATGCATCAAACATCCATACTTGAGCAGGAACACACTCCTCACTCCTAGGGGCCAAATTTAAAGCATACAAATGGAAAATAATTATTTCTATCATTACCAAGGGTTTTATTTCTTGATATCTATGAATGGGTTAGCTGCATATCTTTGCACATTACTATATCCTGTGTTGCCTCCTCCATCTTTTTTGACAAAACCTTTCTTTCCCTGTTGTTGAATTTTCTTGTCGAACCTATTGTATTCACTAACATCTGTACATGTTTGATTTAACTTGAAGGGCTATCTTTAATACTTTATTTTCCTCTTTCGGGACTTTTCCTTTAGTTTCCAAGTGATTCTTATCTTACAGCTGTCTGTTAGAACCCTTCGTCTTCTCTTCTCCATTGTCTCTTCTGAATTTGACTCATGTTGGTTTACACACTTGCATCTTTTCTTGTACTGATCTTTCCC